TAATTCAATTTCCTGTCAAATCTGGACAGGACGGCCTTTCAGGCCTTTTTTATTGTTATTGTAATATTACGGGGAACCCCGTAGCAGCCTCATCCGTGCTCAAGCCTCCAACGAGGGAACATGCGGGAGTTGCAGCAGGTATGATACCTGCTATAGCAGGCGGCGATACCGGCCAGGGGTCAGTCTGTAGCAACAGGACCGAGCTTCTTCGATGGGCCAGTCACTGTGCCTCTCCTCTGGTCCCATCCCCCTATGAACATCAAGCAGTAGGTGGCGGGCACCAAGCTTGCCAAGGAAGGTACATGAGACCAATTGGGATTGAACCCAAGACCTCCTGAATGCCACTTGCGTGCCTTACCAACTGAGCTAGGCCGCTGGATAATGTCTATTTTTTGCGTGTGTGGAGAGGCTCAGAAAAATATCAAGTGCATTATGTGAAATATGGCTTTCGATGTGCAGCGAGGTGGTAAACGCTTACTTGGTATGGCACAGCGTGACGTGAACTTCCCGGTTTCAGACTGATTTAAAATAAAGGAGGAGCAGTACAGTGAGTGGCCGGGTGGCTGACAGTTACAGAAATCTGACTGTTATCAGCCTCCCTAAATGCCTAGAAGAATGACGTTGGCAACTTGGCTGTGAAAAAGTTCAGTGGGAATATGCTTGTTTTGCATGTGTGGAGGGGTTTAGGAAAACACCACATCAAATATGGATATTGACATGCAGCTAGGTGCCCAAAATGCGTATGCTACTCTGCAACAGTGTGAGGCAACCATACTGTTTCAGAGTCATTCAGACTGATCTAAACAAAAGAGGGGCAATACACTGCACATGTGGCTGACAGACGTTGAAACGTAACTATTGTTACAGTCAATTCAAGGTGGACACAACAATGTTTTCCTTCTGAAAACAGGAAAATGAGGTGGTGTTTTCCTTTCGAAAACCGGAAAACGAGGTGGACACAACATGTTAATGCCTGTAATGGTTGTTGTGATGTTAAGGCTGTATTCCGGTAAACCTCTTTTGTTTCCAATTTGGGCTAAGTCGGTGGTCAAGCATGGGATTAGGACTGTCTGATGTAATGGATTCCGAAAATCTTCCATGGTAAAAGGGAAAAAAGAAAAAGTCAAAAAAAAAAATCCATGTTGAATGGACAAGAAGTGAGAGGGGGAATGATATGTATGGGACGGTTTCAAGGGGTCATGGGAAGCTCCGGCTGTGGCATGGAGTCGGCTTAGGGTGGTGGTGAAAAAGAACTGCACCCAATGACAACTGCTGTTCGCAGTCTTGACCTGAAGTGCCTGCCAGGAAAGGAAGGATCAAGCTCTAGCTGCTGACACCGATGGTTAGGTTAGGTTAGGTTACACGTCCAAGGTTAATTTGGGAGAACAGGATTGCAGACCTTGTGGTCCAAAAATGGGAACTCCTATACTGCCAGTGCAAGCTCGCCTTCTCCAAAACTTGCAGCCAAAACCAAACGGGCAGCAGGCTGGACTGATAGCGCTCACTGGCCCCAACAAAAAAAAAAAAAAAAACACGGCAGGGGCGACTTCTGACCATTGGGTGCCGATCGCAAGGAATGGAGTCTAGTGCCACTGCTTTCCCTCGAGGCTGGAAGCCTCCACTAGGATTGGTAAAATGATTTAGGTTTGTGCCCGGTTGACAAGATACTGAAATAGTGTCTGCCGCACTGGAGGTTTAAACTGTTTGCTAACTGCAGTGGGCTGTTTCTGGATTACCCGTGGAATTATCTGCCACAGCTATCACATGTCCGTCTCAGCGAACGGACATGCGGGGGAGGCGAAGGTCAATCCAGTGGGAAGGATGGGATGGACAGCACAGCGGAAGACTCAATCAAATGTATGAACTCAGCAGTAACATGCACGGCACACCTGACAGACAATGTGAGCAAAGAATCAACTCGCACACCGATGGGGGGGGGAGGTATACATGGATCAAACCTCCTCGCTAAATCATGCTTCAGACAAATGGAGGCCCACAAACGAGGAGGAGAAGTGGGGAGGAAGAAGCTGAAGAAGTGAACATAGGGTGATGCCAATAAAATAACATCTCCTCCTCAAACACTCTCCTATTCCTTTTAACCATCTACTGTAGAATGAATCTCAGATCTGTGTCCGGGGCGTCAGAGTGCTCCCACAAATATAATGATGGGGTTAAGTCAGCCAGAACCGTCTCCCCCGCCGAAGCGAAGGATAGAAGGGGAAAGACAAGGATAGTAGAAGGAGAAAGACAAGGATAGTAGAAGGAGAAGAAGAAGTAGATGGTTGAGTAAACCAGAACTCTTCCACTGCCGAAATGGAGGATAGAAGGAGAAAGAGGAGGATAGAAGATGAAGAAGGAGAAGAAGAAGAAGAAGATCTCTCTCTCTCTCTCTCTCTCTCTCTCTCTCTCTCTCTCTCTCTCTCTCTCTGAAGCCCAAATGTAATGATGCATCTCAACCAGAACTCTCTCCCCCACCAAAGCAAAGGATAGAAGGAGAAAGAGGAGGAGAGAAGAAGAAGAAGAAGAAGAAGAAGAAGAAGAAGAATCTCTCTCTCACACACTCTTTTCTCCTCATTGCATGTCACTCTCCAGGGCTTCTGGCTTACACGGATGCCCTTGCATGTTGCTTTCTACGGCTGTGTGCATTGACTGTTGGTTTATGCAGGATCCTGCCCCTATGGAATCCACGCTTAGAAGGTCGTCCAGAACGCCTAAGCCGAAGAAATCTATTTATGAGCCGGAATTGTTTCCTCATTATGTTGATAAGGTGTGTTGGCAATTCATTCATGCCAGGACAAAGTCTCAGCGAATTGCCTAACACCATGGGCACCATGCTGCTGCAAACTTTGTTATCATGTTTCAAGCACACTCGCTTCACTTTGTACTCATGCATGACGAAACCATGCTCTTTGGTTTCCCATTGTTCTGGCAGGCGATGGAACCATACCATCTTGCCTCTTACCACTGATCTGTGTCACCATCCAATTTTGAACTATCATTGTGATCGATGTAAGTTACCTCCAGTGCATGTCTTCCATGGTTTTCATTTGGTTGGTCACCGCCACTCGCACATTGTTTTATTGTCAGTGCCATCATCGATCATCTGAAATGATATGCCGTGTACCAATATCCACCACTGAAAAAATCGCGCAATGTAACAAATCTCGAATCCATCGGGTCCATGGTCCATGGCCCAGATGGTCGCACGTGTAAAAAATCTGCTATCTGGGTCGTCAATCCGACCAGGCCAACAGCTGGGATCATCGCATAATCTTACAATCTGTAGATGGTGCATCCATTCGGGCCGTAGTGGCCTGGATTTTTGCATGATCTTACAATCTTAAGATCTCATGTCTGTCCCAGCCGTCCGCCCGGTCGTACGTAGCGAACGGCCCCGATGAGGAATGGACCAACGGCCCAGATGAGAAAATGGCGTCACTCAGGATCGTGCCAAAGTTGTACGGGCTGCGCAGATTGACAAAAGAACTGCGTGTCACTCTCCCAGGCCCTACAAGATGCACACGTCAATCTAAGGACTGCTCGTTGTTATTGTGATTCATTTTACTGTACACTCTTCGGTTGTGGAAAAGTGTGTGTGCTGTCGTATTCGTCTTTCCCATTTCATTGTGCAAGAGGGCTGGTCAACCCTCCATGTGTTTGTAAGCAGTGTGCTTACCTTCCCAGATACAACCCGGGGTGCTGCAACCTCAGGGGGGAGAGAGAGAGAAAGGTAGATAGAGATGATCGATAGGTAGGTAGGTAGGTAGGTAGAGAGAGAGAGAGAGAGAGACATGTTAGTCATTCCCCTTCCGCTCCCCTGGTCTTCCTCACCATTTTCAGGCAATCATAAAACCATTTTAATATGTTAAGATTGCATGACAATGATGACATTGATGATTGTTTTTCCCTTCACCTCTCCACTGCCTCTCTTTACTTTGCATCGATTTGTATTGTGCGGAAATCATAGAACATTGATTTGATTGATATGGACACTGGCTGGCTTTCATCTTGGGTGCAGCGGGATAAAGTTCAGATAAACCGTCTGCCTTCTATGTCTATCCCTATCCCGTGAGTGTGCCTTCAACTTGGACTGACATCCCACAGTTTGTGCTCGTGTGTTGTCATGTTCGCTATACACAACTCCACAAGAAAAGCATCACTGTGCCAGACTGTTACGACGGACTTTCGTCGACTCATCAGGAGGTGTGTGTCTGTGTGTGTGTGTGTGTGTGTGTGTGATAGAATGTCGGTTGACCGTATATTTGAACACAGAACAGCTCCCTAGGCTGGATTCGAACCAACGACCCTATAGATAGGGTAAGCAGTGTATGTAATCTGACTAAGCTTCCCTCCGAACCGTGCGTGTGTGTGTGGGTGGGTGTGTGGGTGTGTGGGTGTGTGTTTGTGTGAGAGAGAGAGAGAGGGCTGTCTCTTATACACATCTAGATGTGTATAAGAGACAGGAT